CAGTATCTTCCCGGGTATTGAAGTTAGGCTGATTGGTCTGTAGTTTCCTGGGTCTGGGTTTGTTTGTTTTTGAAGATGGGAACCATATCAGCTCTTTTCCAGTCCTCTGGTAGTTCCCCAGTGCTCCAGGATTTTTGAAAGATATAGTACAGTGGCTCTGAGATGACATCTGCTAGCTCCTTTAGAACTCTGGGATGTAATCCATCAGGTCCAGGGGTGGGTTTCAAATTTGTTTATTACCGGTTATGTGGGTGTGGCTTATTTTGTAGATGTGGCTTATTTTGTGGGCATGGCTTGGTGGTAATGTTAGCAGGTGGCATTTGGGTAGGAGTGGCTTGGCAGTCATGTGACTGGATGGGAGTCACTTAGCAGTCATGTGACCAGGTAGGAGTGGCTTGGAGATCATGTGACCAGATGGGAGTGGCTTGGCGGTCATGTGATCAGGTGGGAGTGGCCAAGTCAATGTCACTGAATTCTTTGCCCCAATGAGTAACCTACAAAAAAAAGATATAAAAAGGAAATTTTTTATTTTGTGCACTTACTACTTAAATAAGACTAAAATAAGTACACAAAACAATAAAAGAGTTACTTACAGAAGGAAGATGACTGTCCTACCTGTCTACAGCATCACTGACTGACCACCTAACTTCAATGAATGACCTGCACAAAGAAGAGACACAGAAAAGAAGTCTTTAATTGCATGCACTACATAAGGATGAAACCAGCACACAAAATAAAACAGCTACACACTAATACTTACAGAGGAAAGATGATTGTCTTCAACATCACTGACTGACCACCTTGCTCCAATTAATGACCTGCACAAAGAAGAGACACGGAAAGGAAGTCTTTAATTGCATGCACTACATAAGGATGAAACCAACAGAAGCTGGAATTAGTGCAACGGGAACTGTGGGGAAATAGCGGAGCTCTGAAGGACTCAGTGAAAAACCCAACCGGACACCTGCTGCCAGAGTCCTTCAGGTCAGAAACATTCTGGAAGAAAAGGTAAAAAAAAGAAGAAACATCTCGACGACCAAAGAGAAACCAGCAGTTCCTCGAAAGGTCCAAGATAAAGTTATTCAAACTGACAGCAGAAGTGGCAGCAGCCACATTAATGGCCGCTTTAAAGTCAGGGCAACTGGACCAAACTATTTAAGCTGGAACAAAGTGGACCTGGGTGAAAGAGTGATCAACCCAAAGTAAAAAAACTTTTAAATTTGGATTAAAGAGAGTCCTGAAAAAACTCAGAGCTGCTGAACTTTATGCCAAATTGTCTAAGTGTGAATCCACCAGGAAAAAAATGACTATTTGGGGTACCACATTTCTCATGAGGGTATTGAAACTCGGAGAAAGTCCAGGCTGTTATGGAATGGGCGCCCCCCTTTGTATCCACAAGCAGCTACAAAGATTTTAGGATTTGCCAATTTTTACCTCCAGTTCATCCCTTTGTTCACTAGCATTTCTTTGCCAATTATGAATCTCCTAAAGTCAAATGGGGAAGCAAAGCCAAGACCTAGTCAGCCCCTGAAGTGGACAATGGAATGCCAAGCAGCATTTGAGAAATTGAAATGTCTTTTTGCAGCTGAACCTGTTTTAAAACACCCCGACATGGACGTACCATTTGTGGTCCAAGCGGATGCAAATGACATGGTGGGAATAGTGGTGTTACTTCAAACAAATGCTGATGGGAATCTACAACCTTGCGCCTACATCTCCCAGAAATTGACTGAGACAGAAAGGAGATGGGCAAATTGGGAAAAAGAAGCTTTTGCAGTCCGGTGAGCCCTACTGACCTAGTGGCATTTTCTCAAAGGAGCCAAGCACCTGTTTGAGGTGTGGACTAATCATAAGAACCTTGAGGCATTAAAAACCCCACAGAAATTGTCGCCCAAACAAGTTCACTGTGCACAACATTTTAATCAGTTCAATTTTACCTCCCAGAAGGAAAGAATTTTATGGCAGACACCTTATCCAGGCTACCCCAGTATAACAGTGCCAGGTCAGAAGTGGTCCAATCGGTCATTCCTTCCAAACAGCTAGCTGCCCCAGTAGTCACCAGGAGCCAGGGGAAAGCAGACCTAGACATGCCTACAGAGCTAACAAAATGACTGAGGGAGGTGCTAGCATCTGATGAATGGTTCAAGTCCCACTCCAATGATTACACCATGCAGGATGGCCTTGCCTGGGTGAGAGCCAAGTTGTATGTGCCTGCTAGTCTAAAAAGCATTGTCCTCCAACAGGCCCATGATTCAAAAGTGGCTGGACATTTTGGATTCATGAAGAGACTACCAGGAAAACCTCAAGGACTACTCCAAAACATTGCCAGACCTGATGCCCCTTGGAAGGAGATATCCATTGACTTTATTGTTGAACTACCAGAAAGTAATACCAATACCATCATTTGGGTCACGGATTTGTTCTCTAAGCAAGTGCATTTCATGCCCTGTTCCAAGATTTTCATGCCCTGTTCCAAGATTCTGCCAGCAAAAACGCTGGCTAAACTCTTCATCCTACATGTGTAAACAGCTGTGTAAAAAAGTCCTGCACGCTTTATGGTTTGTGGTTTATGACATTTTTTGGATAGGCCATTGATTTTACGATATTTTATGCTAACTGCCATGCAAATATTATATTTAAAAAAATATTGGTGGTTTTTAAATGAAAAGCATATGCTTTTTGCAATTTGGTGATGTTTGGATGTGGATTGTGAATTTTCTTGCATGCTTACAATGACTATGAAAACAGATTAACTGATGCATACCCAGTGGCATACGTGTTTCAATTACTAAGGCCGATGGTAGTGTTTTGTTAACATGTTTATTATTTGTGGCCATGAAAAGGACCATTTAGGTAATCAAACAGGGTTATTATACTATACTATACTATACTATACTATACTATACTATACTATACTATACTATACTATACTATACTATACTATACTATACTATACTATACT